TAATTAAGCTCAAGCTCAAGCTCAAGCTGAGGGTGACTCGTGCTCGAACTCGATTAAATTAATTAAGCTCAAGCTTAAGCCAAGGGTTGCTCGAGCTAGACTCTACTCGTTTACACCCCTAGATGGTATTGTGTTTATACGCATTTAAAAGCTTGAATTTAACTTGATTAATTCTTATCCTTTATCTGACTATTTTGGTTTAATTTTTATAATCAATCGATCATATCTTGTTATTCTGTAATATATTCATCGTCATGTTATTTTATTTTCTACTTTTTCTCTTTAAATTTATTTAAACATTTATTGCATGCTATGTTTAACGTTACTATCTTCTAAATCTAATTTCGGCATCCGATCATTACAGTCCTCTCAAATTAGCAACTAAGCATATAGCTTTAAATATTTTTTTATCATGTTTCTCATATTTTGAGATTCATCAATTTGAAATATTGTCTTTTTTATTTATGCTATTATTAATTTGAATGTATGAACTTAGCTAGTTTTTTTAATTCGAAGTGCTGGCTTAAATTTGTTGGCTAGTTATTGAAGCCCTTTTAAATGAATGAGTCACGCATGCCCGTTAATAGAGTCCAATTAAGCCCATTATGGTCATCCCTGTGGGCCAATGGTTGGCTCTAGCTCTATCCAATTGTGTGTCTTTCAGAATCTGTTGAGCGATATTTTAAACAAAGAAAAGAACTTTTTTTTTAGTAGTGAAGGAAATGTTAGAATGTCATTATTTTGTATAATCATCACGATTTATTTTTCTTTTTCTGCAGAGAATGCTTTGTGATGTTTAATTGCATCTTCATTTATATTGCTATTTATTTTAAATCTTCATTCTTTTGTTACATTGCTTCTTTTTATTATTGTTAGTTTGATAAATATGATTGATTGGATGGTCAATTCTGTTGCACATTGCAGAAAATTGCTATATTTACTTCATTACAGCTCTTTAAGCTGCACTTCCCTGGAACAGATAGAGACGGCACACCTATATTGCAAGCATGACATAGGTGCAAGAGTTTATTATCCTGTGTTTTGCAAATATGACCTTGGAAGATTTCTTCACCCTCACCGAAATGAAAAATGGTCTCACAACTTGTGGAAGAGTCGAAGAGCTTATATGCGTGATGCAAAAATGGAATTGTGTTACGAATAATGTAGGAGACGCGGCGAGGCAATGGTCTACTGTTGCCAGCACCCTCGCTTGCACGAAAAGTAGGGAATGCCTTTCTCTCTTTGTTCATTTAAATGGGTTAGGCTTTCTAAATCATTGGCTGCAGGAAGCTGTTAAATGCAGCATAGATATTGTTGACGGCGAGGAATTGATTAACACTTTAATAGAATCACTCGAGAAGCTCCCTACAAACCCTGAAAAGTTGAGTTCATCCGGAATATTTGCAACGGTGGAGAAGCTTTTGGGCCACAAAAATGCAAATATAAATGAAAGAGCGCGAATGTTGTTTGATAAGTGGAATAATGATAACGAATGCCAAGAAATGGAGAAAAATGGTTCATGTCATGTTGATAGTTGTACACCCTCCGTCGAGTTCAAACACGCCGTCGATGAAGTTGTTGACAAATCTTCTCGTCAAACAACTGACGAGGAAAGTCATGAAGTAGATTCCAGTCTAATACAAAACCTGTCAGTAATGAGCGACAATGATTTTCAGTTAGGGGATGTTGATGATCGAAAATATTCAACAACGAACCAAACCTTGCCAGTGATTGCTTCTGCCAAAAATGATGTATCTGATGCCGGCCAAGAGAATTATGCTGTTGAAGAAGGAAATTTTATTCCTAAATCAGAAATAGCATTTCCCCCTACAACTTCATCTCCTAAGATTCATGTCAAAGATGATGATCCGTGCAACATTTCAGTTCGGGATGATGTGATGGCAGAGGTGAACGAGCGAAAAAGTGACTCATGGGAGGTTAGAGCGAATCCTAAAGTTGTTCGAAGCGCATCGTGCACACTAACACTCAACAAAGGAAATCTGGATCGATCAGATGGTAAGGAGGTCATTCATAGGTGTGCTAGTGTGGATGGGGTGTGGACCGAATATTTAAAGACAATGGGTGTCAAATCAGGCGAACATGATTCAAGCTCCTGGAAAAGAGAAGCTACAGAAAATAGTGGTGATGCAGAAAATAGTGGCGATAGCGACCCCTGTAATGAGGACCCTTCGAGTACATGTGAAGGAGTCGATACATTTATCTATGAGGAACCTTCTAAAACTTCAAATGATCAGGTAATTCGAGAAATGGAGAAAAGTTCTGATTCAGAAGCTGAATCGGGAGAGATGGATGCATTGGAAATTGCTCGTCTAGTAGCAATTGAAGTTGAACGAGAGGTTGTTGATTACAGAGAGGAGTTATGTAGCTCTTCTTCTGAGTCCAGCTCAAATGAGGTTATCAACAATGCAAGTCCTATTAAAGATGATTGTGATGTCACTTCTCCTCCTAAGAATGATGATCGCATGGTTGTAGAAACAGCTACAGATCCTTCAAAACAGGACCAAAGCCCAGAATTTCAAAATGAAGCAGCTGTTATTCAGGATTCTAGAGCTAGAACTGAAATGAGAAAATTTGATTTTGATTTAAATGAGGATGCCTGTACTGAAGATATTGATTGTGCAGTAGATCCTATTAACCCAAGTATTCTAATGAACTTGTCTGCACCAATAGCTGTTTCTGCTTCCAAAGGAGCTCCTTCGTTTCTGATCACTCCGCTATGTTTAGAAGGCGGATTGGGTTGGAGAGGTTCCGCTGCTACGAGTGCTTTCCGCCCCGCATCTCCTCGAAGAACTTCTGATGGTGAAAAGTCCGAATCAGGCTCAAAATATAAACCAAATTTGATAGAATTTGATTTAAATGTTACAGACTCTGGGAATTATTTACCATTGGACACTATCGCAGTACCTGTTTCTTCTGGTATACCTTCGTGGAACTCATCGTCCGAAGTCAGTTCGCTGAAGCCGGAGAGGATAAAACTCGACCTTAACAATAATGGAGAAGATCAAGCAACACCATCTCACTCACTGCTCGTAAAGCCTTATTTCGTAAGCAGTGGCCAAACCTCTTCTCCAGCATCGTCATCATCGCGCAAACAACCACCTCACAAACACTTCGACCTGAACGACAATCTTTTTTCATCAGATGCCGCCGTTTCCAAACACATCAACCTCTCCAAGGCGGAGAACCCCCATGGAGTTAGAACTGACGAGCCGATAATCACGATCATGGGCTCAAGGATGTCGACGGCGGACAGAAGAATTCACCCCAACCCAACACATCCATCCTGCATACCGAACGGATTAAACTTCGATCTCACTTTGCCTACCGGTCCAATCCTACCTTACCCACCTCACCCAAACTATGGTTACATTGCTCCGGGCACCGGAATGGCCGTACCTTTCCCGCCGGCGGTATATGGTTTGGGAAACGTCCCTCGCATGGTTGATTCTCGAGGGGCTACCGTCATCCCGCAGCTAATGAGCTCAGCCGACGGTACACCATTAGCGACGCTTCCTTACCTAATGAGCATAACAAACACCCCTTCGAGCTCGAACGGCGGCGCTCAACCGGGTCTAGATTTGAATTTTGGTTTGATGGAGCCGGGAACTACTGAGTTGGGTAATCTGGAACAGATTAACTCCGGAAATTCAATAAAAAGGAAGGAACCAGAGTCTGGATGGGACTCTTACAACATTGGCTACAAACATTTGGCTTCATGGCACCGATGATTCTGAACTTTCTCAGTTCATTATAACATTAACTTCACTGCTTATTTTTCAGGGCTGCTCAACCTAAAGAAGCTCTTCACCTGACTATCGGTTTTCTGTTTAATATGACTGGCTCCCTTCGTAAACATTGATTGACGGGGCGAGTCGATCGATTCGTCTTCTTTCTTGTCGCCACTTTCTTCCAGGTATAAAAATTGAATAAGGCTCATTATATATGTACTTGTTTAGTATGATTGATTATTAAATCATATATCTATATATATATTCTTGTTCTTTTGTTATGGTGACCGGTCTTGCGAGTTGAAGGAGGGGATGGGATCTTCTATTTGTACATTTATCTTAAAATTTAGAGATGGTTCGGGGTGCCATCTTTGTCATGCAGTTTTTGAAATTACATACAAATCCACCTGAAACTTGCTATTTGCGAATCAACCAATCTCTGTCATGCAGTTTTCAAATTCTAACTCAAATATCAAAGTTCGCGGTTTTACCACAATACTTATCTTTCATTTTTATCAAATTGTCAGTAGTTTGATCGTGCTCGAGTAAATACACTGGTTCGGTAGTTAAAAAAGGTCATCTGGATGCTTAATTTGTAAATATGAATGTTTGGGTTGGTTTTTTATGTAATTTATCCCTTTCTTTGATGAGTCATTATGTGTTTATTTCTGAAAGATTACAATAAACATTGCTAAATTTGCTAATCTTGAGATTGTGGTGGTGCTTTTTAGTTGTGAAAGAAGTTAGCTTAGGGTTAGTGTAGCCTGATACGATTTTGTATGATTTGGATACATGCCACTTAATTCCTGTTTATTTCCATATCCGGCACGTTCATTTCAGTTTTTACATCTATGCCATCTTGACTGTTGTATTATTGAAATATTTAGTTGTTATGAATGTCAATAATGTGTTTTAAATTTGTTGAATCCAAAATTATTTGGGAAACACATCTTAAGAATAGAAAGTTTTGTTAAGAAGTGATTATAGAGAGATAAGATAGTAGGGAACGATAAAAGAGAGTATAGTCTTTATTAATGATATGAAATTCCTATTTATAGGCATAAGTCTATTATTATAAAAGTATGTATTGGTCCCATCATTGATTTTTTAGGGAAATTTTTTGATGGTTACAGAGTTATTAGTTTGTAATAAGATTGGGGACCGATTTGATCGATGATAATTTGTCGATTGTCAGGTGAGTCTTGACTTATCGATAT